GAGCTAAAATCACTGATTTTCTCTATGAATTTTGGTCTGTGAGCTAAAATCACTGATTTTCTCTATGGACTTTGGTCTAGAGCTAAAATCACTGATTTTCTCTATGGACTTTGGTCTAGAGCTAAAATCACTGATTTTCTCTATGGACTTTGGTCTAGAGCTAAAATCACTGATTTTCTCTATGGACTTTGGTCTAGAGCTAAAATCACTGATTTTCTCTATGGACTTTGGTCTGAGCTTAAATCACTGATTTTCTCTATGGACTTTGGTCTAGAGCTAAAATCACTGATTTTCTCATTGATTGGGGGAATGGGTGATTGGAGGAATGAATTAAACCCGTATCTTGAGTACCCCACTGTATATTCCTTAAAGATATCATTTCTTTCTTATTATGTGATACCCATACAGTCAAAATTGTGTTATTTGTCAACCACCACCTATGTGTCTGACATGGATGCAGGCAGAAGACAGATGACATGTGATTAAAATCTGCTTCGTATTTCAGTCCTGCTCCTTCTTCAACTCCAATGCTGTCCCTTTGAAACTGTCCTTCCAAAACCTGGACCCGCTTGGAGACAACATCAACGTCATCTTTAAAGTACTGTAGTACAACGTTGTGCAATTTTAACGTTCACCTGCTCATGCAAGAGCAGGCGCGCTCAAACCTCTTTTTTGTTCAGTCAGGAGACGACCTGCGCCAAGATATGTTAACCCTGCAGATGATTCGCATCATGAACAAAATCTGGATCCACGAAGGCCTGGACATGAGGATGGTCATCTTCAAATGCTTCTCCACCGGCAGAGGACGAGGTAAGGCCCCCTACAAGGAATGCAAGGGGTTCTCCTCAGGTGTGAGGTTGTCTTTGGTTCTCCTCAAGGGTGTCCTTGTCTTTGGTTCTCCTCAGGTGTGAAGTTGTCTTTTGTTCTCCTCAGGTTTGTCATCGTCTGTGGTTCTCCTCAGGTGTGGAGTTGTCTTTGGTTCTCCTCAGGTGTGGAGTTGTCTTTGGTTCTCCTCAGGTGTGGAGTTGTCTTTGGTTCTCCTCAGGTGTGGAGTTGTCTTTGGTTCTCCTCAGGTGTGGAGTTGTCTTTGGTTCTCCTCAGGTGTGGAGTTGTCTTTGGTTCTCCTCAGGTGTGGAGTTGTCTTTGGTCTGTGAGCTAAAATCACTGATTTTCTCTATGGACTTTGGTCTAGAGCTAAAATCACTGATTTTCTCTATGGACTTTGGTCTAGAGCTAAAATCACTGATTTTCTCTATGGACTTTGGTCTAGAGCTAAAATCACTGATTTTCTCTATGGACTTTGGTCTAGAGCTAAAATCACTGATTTTCTCTATGGACTTTGGTCTGAGCTTAAATCACTGATTTTCTCTATGGACTTTGGTCTAGAGCTAAAATCACTGATTTTCTCATTGATTGGGGGAATGGGTGATTGGAGGAATGAATTAAACCCGTATCTTGAGTACCCCACTGTATATTCCTTAAAGATATAATTTCTTTCTTATTATGTGATACCCATACAGTCAAAATTGTGTTATTTGTCAACCACCACCTATGTGTCTGACATGGATGCAGGCAGAAAACAGATGACATGTGATTAAAATCTGCTTCGTATTTCAGTCCTGCTCCTTCTTCAACTCCAATGCTGTCCCTTTGAAACTGTCCTTCCAAAACCTGGACCCGCTTGGAGACAACATCAACGTCATCTTTAAAGTACTGTAGTACAACGTTGTGCAATTTTAACGTTCACCTGCTCATGCAAGAGCAGGCGCGCTCAAACCTCTTTTTTGTTCAGTCAGGAGACGACCTGCGCCAAGATATGTTAACCCTGCAGATGATTCGCATCATGAACAAAATCTGGATCCACGAAGGCCTGGACATGAGGATGGTCATCTTCAAATGCTTCTCCACCGGCAGAGGACGAGGTAAGGCCCCCTACAAGGAATGCAGGGGGAACCATAGGTAGTACAGAGGGATCTTTGGGGTCAGGTGATACCTCTTAGTACCTGATGTAGGTACTATACCATTTTATATTTAGGTGCAATTAGTCTCAACTGACTGTTCTCATGAAATCAATGTATTAAAATCAGTCTTATTAAACATTCCAAATTGTTATACTTTTGGTATTACTGTAATTTCCAAACTATAAGCTGCTACGTTTTTTTCCACACGCTTTGAGGCTAAGCTATCATGTGGCTAATTTATGGATATTTTTATGGGCCAACAAAGTTCATGCAGTTCACTAGTAATCAGTGACTTCTGGTAGGCTACTGTGTGTTATATTAGTAGCAATGTCTGTCTGTGAATGGCTGTGTGCACATATGGGTGGGCCGTATATAGGGCAGTGGTGGCTTAGTGGTTGTGGAGTCCATCAGCTACCATCAGTTACCACTGAGACACAGGGGTGTCCTTGGCTGTGGTTCTCCTCAGGTATGGAGTTGTCTTTGGTTCTCCTCAGGGGTGTCCTTGTCTTTGGTTCTCCTCAGGGGTGAAGTTGTCTTTGGTTCTCCTCAGGTGTGAGGTTGTCTTTGGTTCTCCTCAGGGGTGTCCTTGTCTTTGGTTCTCCTCAGATGTGAAGTTGTCTGTGGTTCTCCTCAGGGGTGTCCTTGTCTGTGGTTCTCCTCAGGTGTGGAGTTGTCTTTGGTTCTCCTCAGGTGTGAAGTGTTCTTTGGTTCCCCTCAGGTGTGAGGTTGTCTTTGGTTCTCCTCAGGTGTGGAGTTGTCTTTGGTTCTCCTCAGGTTTGTCATCGTCTGTGGTTCTCCTCAGGGGTGTCCTTGTCTGTGGTTCTCCTCAGGTGTGGAGTTGTCTTTGGTTCTCCTCAGGTGTGAGGTTGTCTTTGGTTCTCCTCAGG